ACCATTCCTTACCCATCCTGGCTAATATCCATTAACGGACTTAACCTCCATGAATTTATCCAGTTCTCTTTTAAATGCTGTTATAGTCCTAGCCTTCACAACCTTCTCAGGCAAGGAGTTCCACAAGGTGACTGTGTGCTTCCTTTTATTTGTTTTAAACCTGCTGCCCATTAATTTCATTTGGTGGCCCCTAGTTCAAGTAAATAACTTTTCCTTATTTACTTTCTCTACATCACTCATGATTTTATATACCTCTATCATATCCCCCCTTAGTCTCCTCTTTTCCAAGCTGAAAAGTCCTTTATAATCTAAATTAGACACCACACAAAGGGATTTCTGGCAACAAATAAAAGATGGGGTGCAAGATGTTAAGGGATATAAGAGAAGAGGCCATAAAATAATCCTGTAGCTGCATGTTACACATCTGCTCGCAGGAAATTCCGTGCAATTGCGGCGCAGCAGAAAAATGCGCCCCCACCCCCGCAGATTCCCTTTGCTTCCTTTCAGAAAATGGAGAAGCAAAGAAGCTGCGCCAGTACTCACTCACCCCCTCCCCAGCAGCTGGACAGCTCGGACACATCTGTTTGGGAAGCTGTAGGGGGAGAGGTAAATCACTGGTGGGAGAGGGGTCTGGGGAGGCCCTGGCCACCCCGGGACGTTAGTCCCAGCTGGGGGGGGGGGAGATGGAGAACTCCCTCCCCCTTCCATGTGGGGCCGGGTCAGATCAAGCCCCAGAAACTTCCCCTGGGTGCAGGAAGCTCTGCACTGTGTGCAGGGGTGTGTGTGTGTGGTCGGGAGGGCGGGAGGTTAGGCTCAGCGAGGGGAGCTGTTGAGTGTGGAGCGGTCTGAATGCACAGGGGTTGGGCAGACAGGTGGAGCAGCTCCTTGTACCGTGACCCCTCCCCCCACCCACTCGGAATCCCCCCCACTGAGCCCCCTCCACATCAGAAGTCCCCTGCACCCAGAAGTCCCCACTGAGCCCCCCCAAACCTCACCCTGCTGAGCCTCACCCTCTGCATCAGGAGCCCCCCACATCCAGACCCCCACTCACTGAGCTCCAACCAGCTGCACCCTGACCCCCCCACTCCACCAAGCCCCACTCCTACAGCCCTCCCCACTGAGCTCTAACCAACTTCACCTGGACTCCCCTGCAGAGTCCCATTCCCCCTGCACCCCAAATCCCTCACCAACCCACTATGCATCCAGATTCCCCCTTGACCCAGACCCCGCACCAAGCTGCCCACACCCAGATTGTGCCACACAGAACCTTAGTACTCTTGAGGGAATTCTCCACCAAAAAGTTAAAATTCTGCAAAGTTCTGTATATTTTAAATTGTCAAAATAACACAAACACAATAACAATATAATCACACCATTTTTCAGTTATTTTGGTAATTTATTTCAAAATACTTGTCAGCAAATCATTTAAAATGGTATGATTATATTGTGTTATTTTGACAAATAAAACATGGAGAATTTTGCAGAATTTTAAAATATGGTGCACAGAATATTTAATTTTTTGGCATAGAATTCCCTCAGGAGTAACGTCTCACTTCTCACCTTACCGAGTTTAGGGCACTCTTGGAGAAAAAGGACTGCAAGTTGGGTTGGTTCCCAAACTCCTCAGGACCAGGGCTGGGAGCGCATGCAGTTGGCTCTCAAACAATCCCCCTGGCCATAGCTCTGAGGTTTTGATGAACCATATCCAACCCTCCTTAAGTCTTTAAGCCAAGTGGAAAAGGAAAAAAAATAGGAGAGCCCTAAAAATAAAATCCCCAAGAGTTCCTTATTTTACCAGTTTGTTTTATTGACTAAAGGGACCAAAGTTTGTTAAGAAATCTCAGCACATGAACAGGGATGGTATAAAATAATTGCCACGAGCAGATTTAAGGATAAAGGCCCACACTGCAAATTAACTTCGTGACTGAGACTCGATTAAAAGTCCCTCGAGGCCCTAAAAGGGAGGTCCCAGTTAGCATTTGTTGACCCTGGTCACCATTAAATCTGCCCTGATGGTCTCAGAAATAGCACTGACATTTAAATACTTCATAACAAGCCAGAGAAACTTTACCGTTATTTCACAGTTACCGTATGCTTGCGGGGGGCGGGGGATTCTCATTAATATCACGGAATGCAAACAGTGTTTTTTAATTTCTCTGGAGGACAGAGGTTATAGTATTAGGTGGAAGTCTTGGTTCCAGTTTCACATGGCTTTAAAGGCCACTCAAGGTCAACCCTGTAAGATAAATTAACTAATTTTGGTTGGGATGGGCAGGGGGAATCAAGCAACAACTTGGCAAGTTATGTATCAGAGGGGTAGC